CCTCTCTCTCAAGTTAAGCATTACCCCTTTTTTCTATTCCTCTTTTCAAGTATACATTCCCCTAGTGGAAATCAAGCCTGTTATTATCAGTCGTTAATACCTCAATGTGAACGAGTTCACTAGGGCACTTCCAACAGAACTGCTGGATCCAGTCCAGAAGAGTGGATGGGAACTTGGGGGGAGAAAAGGAGTGATGATTTTGAGTCCTAGAATACTGTGTTGTGAACAGGTCTGGGTGAACACCTAAGTTGGACATAGGAGGAGCCTCTGAGTGGACTGGAGCTAAGCTAGGAACCTAAGAAGGAAAAGAGGGCTGAAATGAGAATGCTTTGGGCCTCCACCCTTCTCACTCACTTCACTCCCCACTTAAAGGCCCAACTCCCTATTCCTCTTCCCTTGATAAAATCCAAATGCCTCATGAAACCATTCCTCAGTCCTTTGATTGCTAGTCCCCTCCTTCCCAAACTACCTTGTACTTAACTTCTTTGTATAGATTTGCATTTATTAATTTTATATTTATGCTCTCTATATGTTTATATGTACCTGCCTCTCCATTTATAATATAATCTTTACAAGCAGGGATTGTTTCATTCTTTGTACCTTTATCCCTGGTACCTAACTGCCTAGAACATATCAGATGCTTAAGAAATTCTTGTTGATTGATTAATTTGTATTTGAGGTTCCCTACAATCTGCAGCTCCTTAAACTTTCCAGCCTTGTATCATCATACCACTCTCTTTCAAGTGATCTGCATCAAACTGGACAACTAGTTAGCCCCTAAACATATCTCTCACATTCACACCTCCTCCATGAAATCTTCCCTGGAGGAACACCCAAAGAGAAGGTTTCTCTCTCTCTCCTTTGACGCCTCCCCCCCCCACAAGAATAACATGGTTTGTACCTGTCTTAAGCCCTAAGTTCTATTTTTATTATAGTTACTGATGTTACAAGTCATTGATATATGACTGATAAATAAGCAAGAAGGAAATAAGCATTTATTAAGTGCCAACTACATGCCAGTTAATATGCTGCACACTGTATACATATTACCTCATTTGATCCTCACAATAACCATGGGAGGCAAGTGCTATTATTAAAATCCCCATTTTACAGTTGTGGAAACTAAGGCAGACAGAGGTTAAGTGAATTGTCTAGAGCCATACAGCTAGCAAGTATCTGAGGTCACATTTGAATCCAGGTCTTTCTTATTCCAGGTCCAGCACTCCATCCACTGGACCACCTAGACAGATAAACTACACACACACACACACACACACACACACACACACACACACACACACGATAGATGATAGATATAGATATAGCTGCTGCTACATATCTAATACATATGGTTCTATCCAATAAGTTGCTAAGTTTTTTTTGGTTTTACCACCATCTCTCATATTAATCTTTTTCTCTCTAATCACAAGGCCACCACCTTACTTTAGGCATTCATCATCTCTGAACTGGTTTCCCTGCCTCCAGTCTCCCCATTTCAATCCATCCTCCATACAGTTACCAAATGGGTGTGCCTAAAGCACAGCTCTCCCCATGCTACTGTCCTGCTCAAGAAGCTTTAGTGACCCCCTATGACCTCTAGAATAAAATACAAACTCCTATTTGGACATTTAAGATCCCTCCCAATCTGGTTCCAAATCCTGTCGCGTTCTTTCCACATCTTTCACATCCTCTCTCTCAGCTCAAGCACCATTTCCTACAAGAAGTGCTTCCTGATATTCCCAGGTGGTCCACCACCAATTACTTTGAATTTACTTGTCTGTATATGTGCTGTTTCCTCCCACTTTTATATAAGCTCCTTGAGGGCAGAGACATTCATTTTGGCTTTTTGTTCTCCTCAGGGCTTATCACAGTATCTGGCAAATAGTAGTCGCTTAATAAGTATCTACAGAATTGAATTAAAAACGTGGCTATAGAGTCTGCAAAACCTGGATTCTAGTTCACAGATGAGCTGCAGACATCACATGGAAAGAATTTCTGTATACCAATGAAATTACAAGTCTAGATTAAAAAAGCTGGGGGTGGGAGGGAGGATTGCGTCATAGCCTTTTTACTACACCATGAGATTCTTGAGAACCAGGCAATATTATTTACCTCTCTCACCCTCAGGGTCTAGCATCCAACTTGGCTAGGTGCTTAATATTTCTAAAGGCTGTTTATTGAACTGGGGAAGGGAGTACAAAAAGGAAAGAAGTCAAACCAGGCCCTGCATTATTTTTGTCCGGGCTGCTTCAAACTGGCTGTATATCTCCTTTCCCCAATTACTAGGTCTGCGGAAGTCCCTTCTTTTCTTTTTAAACTTTTTTCTTTCTTCATTATAAACTTAATGAACATTTCAGTATATAAAAAAGAACAAAAGTGAGGATTATATATGAAAAATTGTAAGCTTCTGTAACATAGAGTTGTGGATACATGTTAAATTTAATGTAACAGTAAGATGACCATCCTGCTTGTCTTTATCTCCTTCTGAACTTCCTTCTTCTCTTTTCTGGATGTTTAAAAAATGTTTCATTAATGCTCTTTTGTTTCTTATCTTTTTACATCACTATCATTAGCCACCAACTCCTCCCCTCCCCCAACAGAAGCCTTCCCAGTATAATGAAGCAAAACAAATCTACCCACTGGCCACATCTGAAAATCCATGTCTCATTCTTCACTCTAGTCCATCACCACCTTGCTAAGGGGTGGGAAACATGTTTCATCATTAGTCTTCTGAAGTCATGATCGGTCATTGATCAGAAAGTGTTTCAAAGTTGTTTTCCTTTACATTATTAAAATTGTTGTATAAATTATTCTGATTCCCTCCCTTTCTTCAATGCTCAGTTCAAGTGTTCTAGTCCTGTATGAAGCCTTCCCTGACCATGTCCACTCCTCCCATTTTTTGTAGACTTTGTCTGGCCTTACCATTTATCACTCCTCTGTATCAGGGTTGTCTGTACGTAGCTTTCCCTAACATTAGCCTGTGAGCTTCAAAGACAATGTATTCATTTATTTTCTTACGCCTAGAGCTAAGCACATAGTAAGTGCTTAATAGAAGTTTGTTGAATTGAATTTGTTGAATTAACCTTAGGCAGCTTACTTCTTCCCATCAGCCTTGGCTTCCCTACCTGTGAAATGAGGAGGATGACCTAAATGATCTCTCAGGTTCCTTCCAGCTGTAAGCCTCTATGGTTTTATCATTGCTCCCTCAAAAACCTTCTCATTCTCCCAGCTTCCTTATTTCTGTTGAGGGTACCATGGGTTTCCTGATCATGAGTCATCTTTGGCTCTTCCTTCTACCTCAACAGCCACTAATTATTTGTTGTCAAGCCTTGTTCATTCTAATTCCAACAATGTCTCCAATATATAACCTCTTCCCTCCCCTAACATGACCACCTCCCTAGTCTGATCCTTCAACATCTGCCTTCACAACTATTTTAAGAGTCCTTTCAAATGAACTGCCTGTAACCTCTCCTCTCTCCAATTCATCTTTCACATAAAGGCACAAATAATCTTCCTAATGCACAGGTCTAACTATGTCTCTCCACTTCTGTAGATCCTTCTGGGGAACCCCCATGTTACTAGAATAAAATCTGAACTCCTCAGCCCCACCTTTAAACCTTTCCACTACTAGACTCCACCTCACCTTTCAAGCCTTATTTACTCCAAATCACACATTCTACCTTCTTGCAAAATGGACAGCTAGCTGATATGAAACTCAACCTGCCACTTCCCAGCTCTATGAAGTGCTGCAAGCTGCCATCCCTTGGCCTCTCCAGATTTCAGAATCCTCCTCTTGAATGCTCTCCTCCGGCCCCATCACCCCATAAACCTTACTGTACTTTATTGCAGGCTGTTTAGTGGTCTCTCCCTCCTCAGATTTCCCCAGAGTACTTGTTTTGGATATACCTTTGCCACCCTTCCCCATCTTACCCTAGCCTAATCTTAATTGTGGACATCTTATCTCCCCAAGTAGACTTTGAGTTCCCTGGCTTCCTTTTATTCCCAAGTAAAAGCTATCTTTTACAGGAAGCCTTTCTAAACCTCTCTTAATTCCTTTTTATCTTGTATTTATCTTGCTTTGTATATATTTGTTTGCATGTTGTCTCCTCTACTAGACTGTGAGCCCCTTGAGGGTATTTAATAAGTGTTTACTGACTGATTGATTGATTGATTGAGAGGAGGAATGGTATCATTTTCATATTTGTATCTCCATCCGGTACCTTCAACCAAATAAGAACTTCAATGCAATAAACACTTATTTAAGTACATGAACACCTACTGTCAAGGCACAATGATAAACACTAAATAAAATCTCTGTTGAATTAAATTAGATTCTACCATCCTTCCCAGCTCTAGCATTTTTGCATTCCAAGGTCTCTTCATCTTCTGGTATTCTACATTCATGAGATCACAGATTTAGATCTGGAAGGCATCTTATAGGTAATTTAGTACAGCGGCCACATTTTCAGATGAGGAACATGATGTACATAGAGGTTAAGTGATTTGTGCGATATTGGCAAAGGCAGGATTTCAACCCAAGTCTTCCTGGTTCAGAATCCAGCACTCTATCTGCTACAAAGTTCTTAGGTTCCCTGAGATTCTATGTTCTAAGCACTTCTCAGATCTGACACTTTGCATTCTGTGTTTGGAAGTCCCTCCAAGGTCTAAAATACTCCATTCTAAGGAACCTTCCCCTTCTCTCATATTCTAGGTTCTAAGGAATTTCCTTGCTGACATTCTAAGCTCCAAGGAGTTTCTCTGCTCTGACATTCTAGGCTCCAGGAGGGATCTCAGCTCTTATATTGTAGAGCCTAAGATGCGTTCCAGCTCTGATATTTTGAGTGACTTTACGATTCTAGGGACTTGGTCATCATCTCCCTGATGGCAGAAAGGAGACCCTGGTTGGGGGAGGAAGAAGGTAGGAAGGAAAAGAAAAAAATATATACATGAGGGAGGGAGGGAGGAGAGAGTATCTCCTCTCTCCATTGCCTGAACTTTACCTTGCCCACATACAGGGGCTCGGTACCCGTGTACTCTTCCACCACGAAGAATTGGTTCCAGACCCAGCCTCGCTTTACACGACCACTGGCTAGGGCTCCGTCGTCTTCCTCTGGCCCTGATATGGCTGGGGTCCCAGAAGCCCACAAGCTTCCCAGAAGCAAAAGAAGGGGAGGCAGCAACAGCGGCGGCAGAGACAAGCTGGCCCCCACAGGCCTCCCCCTGGCTCCGGAGCACGGCCTCCTCATATTTCTCCGTGGTGGGAACCGGGCGCAGGCACATGGACGGAGAGGCTGCGCCCCAGGATGCACCTGAGCCGCAGTCACATATTGGTCTCAGGCCCCCCGGGGGGCCAAGGTCAGGCCAGTGCTGGGGCACCTGAGCTCCTCATGGCACGTCTGATTGGCTCAGTGCGGCCCCGGATGGGGCGGCCGGGGCAGGATGGACTGAAGCACTGACCCCGGGGGCGGGGCGCTGGCGCGGCGCCCAACAGGATAGGGGATCACCGCTCGCATCGGAGGCCCCCCACTCCGGGCCTGGCGACTCCGCGCCCCGCTCGGCGACGGTCTCGAGATCACTCAGAAACTCCGCTCTTGCCCGGGCTACGCCGGGCCATCTCCAGGCTCCGAGGCAGTGGTTGGGGAATGGACGCTTCAGGCTCGTGGCGGAGTCTTCCTTGGGCCTGGTCAGGGTGGCAGACTGTTGTCTGGGGGGCCCACTCCAGGAGCCTGAAGGAAAGAGAGAGATGTCAGTGGCAATTTTGCCAGAGGACACTGACTGCCCTTTCCCCACGAAGCCCTGCCTCCCCTTTGCCTTCCTTTCACTCACTCTATATGTGGGACTCTTTGCCACTTGATTTACTGCCTATGTGCACTTGAGCAAATGTTGTCGCCCCTCTGGATAAACTAAATGATCTCCAGAGTTCCTTTCAGATCTAAATCCTATGGTGCCTCTTCCCTCCAGTCCTCCCTTTCCTACCAGCCTTCCTTTCCCCTAACCCTATACCACCAGACCACTACCACTATTATACATTCACATACTCACACACACAACCTTCCCTAACATTCATCCCAAGGAGCCTTTCCACTAAATCAGTAGCTTGGTATAGTTGGTTGGCTTAAAAGTCAGGAGACCTGGGTTCTAATCATAGCTCTGTCACTAACTTCTTACTGACCTTGGGCCAGTCACTTTCTAGGAACTTTACATTCTCCCTCTGCAAAATACTAATCTGGCTAGTCTCTCAGGTACTTTCACCTCAAATATTTTCTATACCAGGATGGCGAACCTGGGGCCTGGAGGCCACATATGGCCTTCTAGGTCTTTGGGTATGGCCTTTTGACTGAATCCAAATTTTACAGAACAAATCCTTTTATTAACAGAATTTGTTCTGTGAAGTTTGGATTCAGTCAAAGAGCTGCACCCAAGGACCTAGAGGGCCACATGTGGCCTTGAGGCTGCAGGTTCCCCACCCCTGCTCTATACTATGATTCACCTCTTAAAGTTGAGGCTGGACCCTATGAACCTCAGAGTAAAGATGACCCTGCCCTCTTGAAGAAAAGACCCTAATGTCTCTTTTGCCCTAACCCATCAGTCATCTCTGAACTAATTTTTATTCTCCATCTGAGATGCAGCCTTGGACAAGGCCTGGACCAAATTATACAGTTAGCAAACCCTGGATTATCAGAACTGGGAGGGACCTTAGAACAGAACAAATGTTTCAGGGGGAATGAATGAATGAATGAATGAATGAATGAATGAATGAATGAAAATGCATTTTGAGGAGATAACACCTGAGGTAGCACTGAACTGAGCCTTGAAAGATATCAAGTTGATGGTAAAGTAGCTATGCCTTATCTATAAAAATATAGTCTCCTGAAATGTATTCTTTCCTCCTCTCTCTGAGCCAAGCAGGTCCACCCAGAAGCTATGACATTTATGGGGTTTGAATGGTGGGGACTCAAAAGGAATCTTTATTTAAGAGGGCATGACTGGGAAACTGAGGAAGAAGTATGTCTATAAATCATCCCCAGGCTAGCTGAGATCCAGGACCTGACACCAATATTTACAGATCAAGGTTTTATTCCCTACATTCAGGCCCCAGTTGAAATAAGACTGGAATTATAGACAAGGAATGGTCTCTGACACACAAGCCTTCATTCTGGGAATGTTATGACTCTCTGGGGAATGGCTAGAGGGCCCAAGAAAGCTCCCTTAGCTCTGTCAGGTAGTTCCAAACCCCATCACTGCTCAACAGGGAGATATTATGAGGAAGAAAGGACTGGGAGGTGGCTTGAGGCCTCCTCCCATGGGAAGTAAGAAAGGATATAGAAGAAGCAATGATGGAGAAGAAACAGGAATACCTCCTTCTATTCAGCTATACCAGTTTCCTTACCAATCTCCAGAGCCTCTCCTCAGTGGAGGAATTCCACAGCTGGCCAAAACTAGGAATTCCTGGACCTCACCAAAAGTACTCTCAGATCCCCTCCGTTTCTAAAAAATTCTATTTTTCTGTGGTCTCTTCCAACTCTAACAATCTGCAGTTCTTCCCATCCTCTTTGCCTGTCCCCTATTCCCACTTCCATTATTCCTTCTCTAAATAAGAGGAGAGGTGATTTGTCCATTTTAACTCACAATCTAGCTGGTTTGAAGTATGATCTCTTTAAAACCCAGACTCACTTCTTGTAGATTCTAGGGTTCATAAATATATGGAGCTTCTTGGCTCTATGAATGAAAGGTCCTGGAAATCTTTCCAGAACATGTTAGGAAGACTAGAACTTTCCCTTCCCCCCCTTCAACTTTAACAGATGGAACACAGAATGTCAGAGCTGGAAGGGCCCTTAGACACCAACCATTCCAACCTCTTCATTTTACAAAGAAGGATGCTTGAGGTCCTGAAATGCTAAGTGGGATAAAGGGAGATCCGGAACACAATATGCTGAATTCCCCAACACTGCAAACTTCTCCTGGGCAGGCTGTCTTCTTACCTGCTGTGACCTGTGGGTGCCCATTTATGTGTGCATGTCCCAGAATATAACAGCTGGAATGGGCCTTTGGACATACAGTGTCAGCACTGGAGAGAATGTTAGAACCTTCAGCATCATTTAGTCTACCTCCTCATTTTGACAGTTAAAGAACCTGGGACCCAGAGAGGGAAAGAAACTTGAGAAAGGGTGCACAGCTGCCTTAGCGGCAATGCCTACATGCACGTGCATGTGTTTTGTGACAGGGCCAGCCTTGGCAGATCTGTCTGTGGGTGTTATTAATGGGCCGGTCCCTCCCTCTCTGGGGCAGTAATGACGACATTAATAAAGCTTCGTGCATGAGAGACACTACATAAGTACAGCCCTCACTGATATTAAATCAGCTTGGCCCCAGTGCCGACCCTGCAACCCCCACTGGCGGCTCCTCCGACAAGCGAGTGGGTCATTCATCACCCTCCTTTGTTTATAGACTTTCCGTCAAGGCTCATAAGCAGCCGATTTAATCCCTCTGGCCGGACATGGGCCCAGAGTGGCCCCCAGGCAGCAGCTGCTTCCTCACACCAATATCCTCACCAGTGCTAAAGATTTCTTCTCAACAGCAGGCTCCAGCTTTGTTAAGGGACCCTCTCTAACCCCGCCTCCCCCTTAGAGCAGCTTATGTTTCTGTAGCGCCATAGGGTTTACCAAGTACTTTCCTTGCCACAACTCTGAGAGGTAAGGGAGTGCCAGTATTATTACTCCCATTTTATATCCAAGGAGACTAAGACTCATAGTATCATAGACTGAAACCTGGGAGGGGCCTTAGAGCCATGTAGCCCAACTAGTTCATTTTACAGATGAGGAAGCTAAGGCCCAGAGATGTTAAGTGACTTGCCTGGGGTCCCACTGCTGACTCCAAGTCCAAGACTCTATTGCTAGCCACTTATGGTCTTAGAGATTTGTTCAAGTTCACATGGCTAATAATCGAAAGAGCTGAGATGGAGGACTGACTATTTAGTCTGTTTTTCTTCCACTAGGCCAGATAGTCTCAGAGACTGTCCCTGTCATCTTCCCATGGCCCACAAGACAAGAGGATAGTTCCATTCCCTTCCAGATCCCAGAGGCTTTGGAGGTCTCCAGAGACATTTGGACACATGACCAGTTGCCTAGTTGTCAATAGTCTAGTTCACCTGCCTTCCACCTCTCTGGTCTCACACTATTACCTGATTCTGAACTCCAAATTCAGGGTAGCCCTGCAAATAGCCCCTCTCCCACTTCCCCGGGCTGAACTTGGATGCCAAGTGAGAGCAGCCTGGGGCTCTGAAAGGTACAAAAGTCAGAGTCAACAATCCTTAGCTCCAGCCCTGCCATGGGGTTCCTTGTGTAATGTCAGGCAAGTTTCTTCTCTTCCCTGGGCCTTGATTTCCTCATCTATACAATGAAAGAGTTGGGCTAGAATGGGGAATTTGAATTGAGGTCCCCTTTGACAGTCTGAAAAAATCTATGGACCTCTTTTCCAAATAAAATTTTTTAAATTCATAATTGAAGGAAATGCAAAATTTGAGTTAGAGATTCATGAAAACTAAGATGTCATCTTTTCCCATCCAAGTCCATGGACCACTTGAAATTTATCCAGAAGATGGTCTCTATAGTCCCTTTCAGCTCTGGCATTCTGTGTTCTAAGGTTTATCTCATTATCCAACAAGTAGCATTTATTAAATATTACTTCTGTGCAGAGCATTTAGTATAGGAGACCCAACATTCAGATGAGACACAGCCCCCGCCCTCATGGGAAATTCACAGCATAGTAGCAGATCAGGGCACAAACACAGAAAACTATAATGTACACCATTCTAGAGTAAATACATTAGAGGTATGCAAGCAAAGTGCCACATGATGTCTGAGGAGAAAGGGTTAACATTCTCTGCTCTAGGGGCCCTTCCAGTTTTGACAGTCTATGCTGCTCTTCTAGTAAAGAGCATATATTACATAGATATCAAGATCATAGTCTTAAAATTCAAAAAGATCTTAGAGGTCATCTAGTTCAGCCCTCCTCATTTTACAAAAGAGGAAACTGAGGTTCAGTGACTTGCCCTAAGTCCCAGAAAGACTATTTGAACCTAATTGCTTTCCTGCTAAGACCATGGTTCTTTCTACTATACTATTTCATCAGACTTAGGGCAGCAGCCTCTGAACCACAGGAAAGGTGGGGTTGAGTTGACTCGTCACTGCTGTTTTCCCTGTCTGGAATGCCTTCCCTAACCCCAAATCCAGAACCCTTCAACCGACCTTCATTCTTCAAGGCTCAGATCATGTTTTATCTTCTCCAGGAAATATTCCCTGACCCTCCCAGCCCATGAAGATCTCTTCCTTTGAGTTACCATCACTCTTACTATCTCCCACTACTTGGGCACACAGTATAGACCGATGGCCTCCTAAAGTGTCTAGAATTTTAAAGCTCAAAGAACACACAATAGACTGTCAACAAGAACTCATACAGGGCTAGTAAAGATGAATATGGAGTCAGGATCCCAGGAGCCTCCTAATTGGTCTCCCTGCTTCCACTTTCCTCTCTCTAGTTCATCTTCCACATGTCTGTCGAAAGAATCATCCCTAAAGCACAGGTCTGATGGCCATGTCAGTCCTGAGCTCAGGGATCTTCAAGAGCTCTCTCTTGCCTCTAGCAAAAAATACAGACTCCAGTCCTTGGTGTTTAGAGCTCTCCTTCAAAGTCCTCACTTTTCTTCTACAATCCTACTCATCATTTC